CCCCTTTGGTCACTTATTTGGAATTTGACCGTCCTCACAGAGTAATGCCTCTTCCTCCCCAGGACACTTCGCCTATGCCTCCACAGGACCATATGCAAATGCCAGCACCTCCAGGATACTTCACTGCTCCCCCAGGTAATTACAATAACTAAGTTATGATACAAAAAGAACACTCCATATTTGCAAATTTTATTGATAAATCTAATTTTGTTTGTATGTTAAGGCAATTTTAGCATAATTCATGTAATTTTCGATTTATATATTTACAGTAAAACGAATGGTACTTTTCATCTGTACATGACAGAGATCATTAATACGTTATACAAAGAACTATATTACATTCTGTCAGTATATGAGTTCCAGTGTAATTATCTTGAAAACAATAGCAGAAAATCATCAAATTGTCAAACTAAAATATAATATCTGTTCATCTGACCTCTCCTTTGGCTTTCTTCCCTTTTCTCTCACTCGTGACATAATAATGGTCCAGGACAGACTGGATCATCCTCTAAAATTTGCTCTGAATTGTTAGTTAGTTGTAAAAAATACATAATATATGTATATCTTAATATAGTAAACAGTACTTTGTGTAAAGTGCAGGCTGTAACATACAATAAAGTTGAATGATCAGGTGGAAAGTGAGGAGATGGCAGGTGAAGTGAGGCTGATTTGTGGAAAAAAGACACTTATGTACAGTTCAGGACATTTATTAGAAAAAACATTTTGCCATGAGTGGCTTCTTCAGTCCTTGTTGTGAAACATTTCCTCTAATAAATGTCCTGAACTTTACATAAGTGTCTTTTTTCCACATCTTGTCAGTCTCACCATACTATTTTTCTGAGGCTGATTTGTAGAATGAATGAATGAAATAATGTTTTACTAGTAAAGGTGAATCATGGAATATGACGAAAGATTTAGAAATCCAGTACAGTAGGGCCCCACTTATACAGCAGGTTAGGTTCCAGGCTGCTGCCTGAAAGGGGACATCACCGGAAAGCAGAACGCCATTTGTTTCCTCTTATAAATGTCAGATAATAAGTTTACACTAACATGTATTAAGTTAGCAATAGAACAAGGCATTAAAAAACAATAAAAAATAAAATACACACAGTACACTCATTACTTACCTCAAAATATTTGTAGTCTTAATGTAGGGTGAGAAGTGAGTAGTGTTTATTGTAAGAAGTTAGGTGTGGTAGGTATGGCAGCCAACTAGGCCACCCCACCCACATGTAATATACTTTGACATTGAAAGAGCCCTAAAGCGATAAAATGCATTTAGTGTACACTCATTAACTTCCCTTAAAACATATTTGTAACTTAATGATCTTAATATAGGGTGCAAGGTGAATAGTAAGGTAGGTAGGTAGGCATCGAAGTGTGGTAGGTATCATAGCCCATCTGGCCACCCCACCCACACATTATATACTAGGCATTTAAAACACCCTGTACATATTAGAAAGACAGGGAGCCGTAATGAGAGTTTTTGTCCATACTTTTGATATCCACTGTATTAGTGGAACACCCTAAGGCGAACGCCAAAAAAAAAAGCCCTGGCCACTTACTGTATTTAGAAATACCGTGAACATTCATTCTTCACATGGGTTACATTCCTGAAAGCTGCATGTCAATTATTTCCGTGATTATAGAGTGAAAAACATATGGGAATAGTAGGGTTGCTTGCCTCATAATGTCATAAAGCTTTAAAAACATAGTTTTCTTCTAAACCTAACCTTGTTAGATATTGATACTCTGTAAAATACTTGAACTCTAGTGAGGCTTAAGAGTGAAAAAAGGAGTTATGAATCCTGAAAGGGATGCGGCACTCTTATCACCTCCCCCACAGTGAAATTGGTATTGTTTATTCTTATGCGATTCTTTTTCATAATATTATTAGTAGAAAAGTTTGAAAGTGACCATGATAAGAGTACGGGCATGAGGGTATTCAATTATTTAAAGATAAAGAAAAATTGGATACACATTGGAGATAGAGAGTATGGAAGAATTGCATGCTTTTAGATATTTGGAGTTGATGTGTCCAGCGATGGGTTTACAAAGATGAGGTTAACCATAGAATTGCTGAAGGAAAAAAGATGAGTGGTGTGTTGAGGTATAACGTGGAGACAAAAAAAATGTTATCTATGGAGCAAAGAGGGAATGTAAGAAAGTATAGTGGTAAACCAACTTTCTATATGGGTGTGAAGCTTGGTTGTAAATGCGCAAACGAGGAGGCGGTGGTAGGCAGTGAGAGTCCTGTCTAAGGGCAGTGTGGGGTGTAAATATTATCAGAAAAATTCGATGTGGAAATGAGAGAAGGTGTTGGAGTTACTTAAAGTATTAGACAGAAGGCTGAAGAGGGGGGTTTGTTGAGGTGGTTGGTCATTTTTTGAGAGAATTGATCGAATTAAATGAATATGGAGCGCGTAAAAATCTGTAGGGGAGGAAGTGGGGTAGGGTCCATCCTCGAAAATGTTGGAGGGAGGGGGTAAAGGAGGTTTTGTGGGCGAGGGGCTTGGACTTCCAGCAAGCATACGTGAGCGTGTTAGATAGTGAATGGAGACAAATGGGTTTTGGGACCTGACGAGCTGTTGGAGCATGACAGGGAATAATTAGGAAGGAATTCAGGTGAAACCAGTTATTTTTATATAGCCCATATTGAATACTGGAAATGGGAAGTACAATGCCTGCACTTTAACGGAGAGATTTGGGATATTGGCAGTTTGGAGGGATATGTTTATGTTATATATCTTTATATATGCTTCTAAACTGTTGTACTGGCAACTTTCTGCAAAACATTGATTATGTATGAGTGAGGTAAAGTGTAATAATGATATGAAAGTATTTTCTTTTTTGGGGATTTTCTTTTCTTTTGGGTCATGCATGCCTCGGTGGGAGACGCTTACTTGTGAAAAAAAAAAATACTTGACAGAATTGATGAATTAGGCATATGTACAACACCTGTGAATTTATTATAGTGAAACAATCGCCATCAAAAGTGGGGGGCCACCCTTTTTTTGATTAAATACAGCTAGGTAATTGTAGACCTATCCCTTCCATACAAAGTAAGTAAGCATTAGCTTGAGTGACCCTTAAAAACACCACCCACAACAAAATCACTCGTACTATCATTTAATGTATTCTGTGCTGCGTAGGGTAAAACTGACAGAAAGTTTATGTGTTACCTTCAGATCCTTGCTCTTTTTCCCTTGTTGCTACAGAAGTGAGTAATGTGGTTGATGTGGTGCTTATGTATTTTAAGAACCTCATGTGCCTCTGCCTCCACTACATATTCAACAATGTTAAATGCAGTTAGAGTATGACAAATTAAAGCACAAGAATTTTAATTAATGTAATTACAATACCATCCGACTTATGAATCCAAGCTGGTTCTTACCAACAGATGTAAATCAAATGGACGTAAGTCGAACCTTGAAATTCCGACATACTGGGTAGTGCATAATGTCAAATCTTTGCTAAATAAACTACCTACAATTACTTAATGAATGTAAATTCAATTATTTCAATTTTACCAAAATGTACTATTGATATATTTTAATCATTATTACAGTATATTATGGTTATACATGGTAGTGGACTTTATTGTAAATTTTACATCTCCATAGAGTATCATATGTTCCTGTTAACTTAGTCTTTCGACACAGTTGAATGGGAGAATACACTGTTTAGTGTCCATCCTGCAGAATGTCCTATAACCTAAAGCTCTAAGTAATGAGAAACTACTCGAACATGTGTAATACGTATTTCGGCTGGCTGGCCTGACTATCAGGCCAGCCCGGTAGGTGGGTGATGGTTGGTTGGTTTGGTTGGCTGGCGGCGGCGGGCTGCTGCTGGCTGGCTGCTTTCTGCTGAATATGGCTTGTACCTCTCCATCTGTATCTGTCTCTGTGACCTCTCTCTCACAGGTCACATTAGTAAAATTATCATATACAGTATTGTGTAAATAATCAGGATAACCAGAAAATCCAGACAAGTGCATACAGTGGAACTGACACTCCCAGTTCCCTAAATTAATAATAATCATAATTATTATTATTATTATATTACAATAATAGCATTAATAATAATAATAATATTATTAATAACATATAATAACGTTCACTCATTAACCTCTTTAAATCTCTGTAATCTATGTAAGTGAGAGTGAGTAAATAAGATTAAATGAACAAATGAGAGAGAATGAGAGTGTAGAAGGTTTGCGAGTTTTGTAAACAAACTAGTTGTTGCTACCAGCCCGGACACGAATGGTTTTTGTTCACTCTTCAGCTACTGGATAAACATCCTCATATGTATGTTAATTTACATGTTTAAATGTTTACTAGCAGTGTGTATTATATAATTTGAAAAAAAAATCATAGATGGATTATGCAAAATGTCTATATTAACATTTCATATACTAAATATTTAATGCACCTCAGACTGATTATTATTGTGTTGTTATTATCATTATTAATATGGCATCTTCAAGACCAATAACACACTCTAATGATTTAATGTGTATCTGCCATGCCAGAACAATGCAAGATGTGAGTTTAAAACAGTAGGTCATATCTTATCATTCTAGAGGGTATATCAGGTATTTATGTTATTTATATTATTTATAGTCATGTTAGATGAATTTTAATCGATAAATAACTGTAGAAGCTGAATTAGCGTCATATTGAAGATGTGATAACTCTGCTTCATGTGTAATACCTGTTGGTTCATGAACGGCTCTGAGACAGAGAGACAAGCAGACAGAAAGACAGACACACACAGGAAAACATAGATAAACAGATACAGACAAATATATACAGACAAATACAGACAGTGTATGTGCGACAGTGAAAACAAATAAAGAAGCTCGAGAGTAAGAGCCTTTCTTGCCACAATTTCCAATGCAAGATTCAGACTTCCTCTTAGGGGCCATGGTGAAATTTACTGTCCAGTTAGTACAGTTAATACAGTATGATGCTGCCTGCATGGCGCATTGCTGCCGCTAGTATCATCAAATATTGTACAGCAGTATGCATCATCAAGCCCAGCCCAGCTGCCAGAATCACTGTTGTAAGTCGATGTGTTGACGTATGGTCGAATCAGGTCGTAAGTCGATGGTAGTGAATTGTTACTCTACCACAATTCCCCATTCCCTCTAGCCACATTTTTTCTAGAAATCATTAGTTCCATGCCTCCTCCAACATCAGTATTTTACTTTCTGGGTGCCATGATTAACCCGTAAACGGTCCAAATGTATATATACATTTTTTCACATTTGAAAGTATGTAAAATAAAGTAAGATCTTTTTTTTTTTTTTTTTTACAATTAGTAAATGTGTATAAAAAACTTTTGGATTACTTTTTTTTTTTTTGTAGTTATATTATGACAAAATGGTAAAAAAACTAGATCTACTTTTGTAGCACTACACATGTGAACGTAGATCTGCTTGGACCGTTTACGGGTTAACATTCAAGAGATGATACTGAATAATGATACGAAAGAAAATAAGACACAAATTAGGTCACAATGGCCACCTGTGTCTCTGTTGATGTTCTCCTTTCACTACACAGTTTTTCTTATTTAAAAACTATTCCATCCCATTATAATCAACAACATGTGTAATAAAGCTTAACCCCTTTCAGGGTCCCTAGGCCTAAATCTGAAGTCACGCACCAGTGTCCAAGAAATTTTGAAAAAAAAAAAAAATTATTTTTTCTTACAGAATTAAAGAGCAATTTTTGTGAGGTACTAAAACCAAAAAATATAGAATCTGATCATTACTTACCGAGATCAGTGCCAAGAAGTTTTATAGAGAAATGATGGTGGTGGCAGCAACATGTACGAATTCCCCATACTCGAAAATATATTAATTTGTTGTTTTAGTTGTTTTTTCTTCATTTCATTTTTTTTCTATTCCTACTAACTTTGGGGCCGAGAGACAATACAGTAGATAATTGATAGATATATACTCACTGTATTGATCACAATAACCTCACTAAAGTTATTATCATATTATTTTTACCCTGTTGTTTATTACAATAAACGATGCACAAATATTGTCTAATACGTAATGTTCTATCATATACTTACATTTTACAATCACGGGACATGGTTTTAGCACGCTGAGCTTGTGGAACTCCTTGAAACAAGCCCATGCATCAGAGGCACCTTACTCCTCACCACATAAACCGAGTGTCTTTGCGACTTTTTGCCGTCGTTTTGTTTTGTGCACCGACAATGCATCTCGTCTGAGCAAATTTCTAT